AAGCATGAACGGTGAGCATTTACTATTATCTAAAAACGCAACAAGTTATGAATGGGAGACGGACCTGGCTGGCAAAACGGCAGATCGAAGAACTTGTACGTTTCGCTGCGAAAAACAAGATGGTCCAAAACGATTAACAGGAAATACGCCTACGTTAGCTTCACGAGTAGGAAATCCGAATTCAGGAGACACATGCAAAAGATCCTGGAATGAACCATAGCCAGTTAGAACGAAACTTAGAGAGTAAGACTTTTCCCAGCGTCATCAGACAGAGAAGACGAGCGTCACGGAACCGTCAACGGATCGCCAACGAATCATCAACGAAGCGACGAATCAGAAACACAGCGTCGCACCTCGGGTTGTGAAAAGGACCGACTTTGTTCGCGTAGAAAGGCACCTTGTCCCCTTGGCCATATCTATGGTCGCTTGCACTAGCATCGGCGACAATGACAGCTCCCAGGAGAGCAGCAGCAAGAACCCTACAACGTAAACTGAATGTCAGAGCCATGCTGACGAGATCTAACAGCCGTTAAGCCAAGGTCAGAACTATGCAGACTAAGAAGCCTTAGTTGCAAACGGGTCCGCCCAACGCGACCACCCTCCGATCACAGATTACAAGATTAAGTAGCTGTTCCCGGTCCTGAGTCATAAGAACAAAGCAAGATCCTGCTGAAGGACGGACCACAAGGTGACTTGCCAAAGCAAGGACGCCCTAGAATTCTGCAGATTCACCCTTGAATTCAACTTGACTTCGCTGATGCGGGTTTCCATGGAAGTTTTAGTGAGGGCTCGTTTTTTGCTCACAAATCCGACTAACCGTTAATTTACCTTATAGAACCGTTCTGCAGCGCTGAAGTCACTCATGACATGACGCAACCTGAAACCTTCAGATGAGATCGGGGTGATTTTGTCCCGAGCCCGACCACGCCTGCGTCGGCTGAAGCGAATTGGTGGTTGTCAGACAGTAGAGGCTGGGCGACGATCCCAAGGTCTTAGCGACGCAAGCGAGGCCGCAGCGACATCCTCGAGGCGATGGTAACACCAGTTGTTGGCGGGAGGGTAGGGAGAGGGTTGCTGGTCAGTGGGGCGGTGGGGTGGGGTCCTGACAGCGAGTAGGGCTGGTAGCCATTATAAGAAGTGATGCATGAGCTGTTATAAGAAGTGTTTTGTACTCAACACAAATAAAAAGCACTCAATAACACACCAAGTCAGATCCTACTTATTCCTACTCCTATTCACACATATGCATGAGGAGGGGAATGAGTAAAGATTATTCCCAACAAATCAGCACCTTACCATGTATCGGGCTTGTCCTATAAAACCACAAACTCGCTATGCAAGTCCTAACCCACCATGAGATGCACTTCCTTGTCCACCTCCGCTTCCCTGCGACCCTTCTCCCGTCCAATCAGCTTCCCAGGCTCCTCCTAGCCACCCATCTCCAGCCCACCTATCGGGCCCATTAAACTCCTCAATAAAGAAGCCTTCACTAGATAAGCCCTCCCCAGGCCATGCCTCCCCTTGCCAGGGCTCTAGCTCCGCTCTCCCTGATTGGTTTGCGGCAGTGCTAAAGACATTAGGAATGCTAGTGACAGGGTGCGGAGGAGGGGAGAGAGGAAGGCTGGGTAAGGCCATATGACCGAAGCCACTCCCTGAAGGAGGAGTGGGATGAAGGGACGCATCAGCGGAAGGAGCTGCTGATTGTGCATGAGTGTGTGCAAGTGCAGGTGCTGGTGTTGGTGCTGATGCTGCTGACGTGGGTTGTACAGGGAAGGAAGGAGCTTGTTCCAATGCTGCCAAGGCAGCAGGAGAAGATTCGGGTTTGACTGAGAGGCCGAACTCGAGTGGGCTGGAAGAAGCCGAAGGGGATAAAATACTGGAATGCCCCAATTGACAATGACCACTTTCAGGAGTTACCTGACTCCAAGACTGTGCACGAGCAAGAGCAGGATCAGGAGTTGGAGCAGATGCAGGAGCAGCAACATGGGAAATACCAGAGGCTTTGGTAGCAGCAGAGCCGCAAGTTTCGTTCTCGAATGCAGCAGAGGAATGGGCAGGGGAGGGGGAGGGATCGCTGAAAATGAGAACACGAGCCGATGAGAGGGACGCGGGTGTGTGCTTTTGCTGAGGGTCGGTGGCTAGAAGGATTGGGGAGGAGGAGGATGGGGGAGTGGTGGAAGGCGAGGGGGAAAAGAATGGGTCTGAAGCAGGCTGGGGTGGGATGCGAGGGGGTGCTGAGAGAGAGGATTGGGATTGGAAGGAGTGTGGTGCGGTGGAGAATGGAGGGCCGGAAAGGGCTGGGGTGGGAGTGGGAATGGGTGCGGTGGGGAAGTGTGAGGGTTGGGGAATATGTGAGGCGGTCTCAAAGGAAAGGTGGGGAGGTGGGATTTCAGGTGGGGCAGTCAAGCGTTCAGGTGAAAATTCAGGTGGCGCGGCAGAGGACGCATGAAGAGCAGCAGGAGGAGAGGGAGAGGGGTGAACGAAGGAGGATAAGTGAGATGCACGTGCACCGGGTAAAGGTGCAGTGGTGTTGTTGGTGGTGTGATAAATAGGCGGAGGGTAAGGCGACACAGTGTTTGTCTGATGGACAGATTGTGCAGGTATGGTGCTGTTGGTGTTGTTGACCGTGTTGGCTTGATAAATAGACTGTGGGAGGGTGCTGTTGCTGTGATGATGACTGAACTGGGAAGGCGTGGTGGCAGGAGGATGGGAAACAGGGACAGACTTTTGAGGCGCCTCAAAAGTCGTGCTGGGGTGATGGTAATTAGGCTGTGGTGAGATTGTGGTATTTCTGTTCTGATAAAAAGGAGTGTTGTGCTGTGGTGCAATGGCGGTATTTCTGTTTTGATGATACGACTGTGGACTCGTGGAAGCAGGAGGCAGGGAAATGGGGACAGAAAACCCAGGGGCAGATGTTCCCTGGGTGGGGTAGGATGAGAGAAAGGCCTGGTTGGATGGATGAATGTGCGTAGAGAGAGGTGTGGGAAGAGAGGCGGGTGCAGGAGAAGCAGGTGCAGTTCGGTTGAGAGCGGTGCTAGGAAGGTGGGGTGGTTGAAGAGGATTCTGCTGGTGTTGGTGGTGGGAAGCAGTTGAGTAGTTGTGAACCGGTTCCCCTGAAGGTGGTGCAAGGCAGGCTGTTTCATAGCTACTGAGAGCATATAAAGGGGCAGGGCTGGAAGAGAACCCCCCGTTTCTGTCACAGTTGCTGCTGCTGTTGCTGTGACTATAACGAGAGTTGTGGGGATCCGGATGAGGATGCTTGGAGGAAAAGCTTCAGGCAGCAATGGGGTGTGGCTGGAGGTGGGCAGGGAGAGAGGATAGGCTCTTGCTGCGTGCAGTGCTGGGAAGGTGAGGTGCGGGAGGCAGGCGTGATGCGTGAGGAGATGCTGTGATGGGTCCATGGGGATCTGTACCATGTGGTGTTTTGGGCGCATGCACATGTGCATGCATGTGCATGGTGCTGGGAAGGTGGGGTGCAGGAGGCAGGGGTGATGCGTGGGAAAATGCTGTTACGGGTGCAGGTGCTGTTCCCATGCGGCCATGCATGCTCTGCATGCCACCATGTGTGTTTTGCATGCCACCATACATGCCTTGCATGCCACGCTGACGAGAAGAGTTCTGACTCTCATGCACAGCGCCACATGACCCATGAACAGTATTCGCCAGCATGCTTCCATCCATGCTTCCATCCATGCTTCCATCCATGCTTCCAGCCATGCTGCCAGGTGGCATGCTCCCAGGCAGCATGCCAGTCACAGTGTGATTAGCCCCTCCGCTACAGCAGCTGCAGCGAGGAGCGGAAATTCCAGAAGCACCCTGATTCTCTACTGCCTGAACGTTTGCAGAAGCTGTAGCAGCATATGTTGCGGCAGCTGTAGAAGCAGCTGTAGCGGCGGCGGTGGCAGCATTAGCAGATGTAGTGGCACCTGTAGCAGAATAAAAACCCTGCTGCTGCTGGCTATTCAATGAAGAGGGTCCAATCGTGCCTCTGGCTACAGCTGTGGCTGTGGCTGCTGAAACTTGTGTTTCACGAGCCACAGCCCCTATAGCAGTTGTGGCAGCAGCTGTAGCAGCAGCGCCAGCTGTAGAATCTGTGGCGGGTGTAGCAGTTGTGGCAGAAGCAGCAGGAACGGTATGGCTGGTGTGATTTGAGTGCGAACACTCTGAGGGTGTACATGTGCATGGCAGGGATTGGTCAGATTGGCCTGACTGGTTGTACCTGTAACACTGTGATTGCCCCTGTCCCTGCTGTTGCTGCTGCTGCTGCTGCAGCTGGTATTGCTGCTGCTGCTGCCGCTGCTGCTGGTATTGCTGCTGCTGCTGCTGTTGCTGCAACTGGTACTCCTCCTGCTGTTCATTATGCTGCTGCTGTCCCTGCTGTTGCTGCTGCTGCAGCTGGTATTGCTTCTGCTGGTGCGTCTGCAGCTGCTGTTGTGCCTGCTGCTGCTGGCCCTGTTGTTGATGCGACTGATACTGCTGGTATTGTTGCTGCGGAGTATGCTGCTGTTGCTGCAGCTGCTGGTGTTGCTGATGCTGCTTCTGCTGCTGATAAAGTTGCTCTTGTTGATTATGCTGCTGTTGCTGCTGCTGCTGCTGGTTTTGCTGATACTGCCTCTGCTGCTGCTGGGTTTGTTGCTGCTGCTGCTGCTGGAGGCAGTTCTGCTGCTGGCTCTGCTGCTGCTGCTGCTGGTTCTGCTGGTAGTGGCTCTGATGCCGCTCGCTCTGCTGCGGCTGCTGCTGGCTCTGAGGCTGATACGGGCTTTGCTGCGGCTGGTTTGGCTGATACTGGCTCTGCTGCTGCTGGCTTTGCTGCTGCTGGCTCTGCTGCTGCTGGTTTTGCTGATGCTGCTCCATGTGCCCTTGGCTCTGCTTCCCATGCTCCTGCCGCTGCTGCTGCTCCTGCTGCATTTGCTGTTGCTGCTGCTGCTGCAGTTGCTTTTTTGGTTCATTTCGCTCTCGCAGGTACATGGGTTGGCAGCACTGGCACTGCGGCTCCACACATGCGCTCTCCTGCTGCTCATGCTTCCCTTCTGCCTGTTGCTGTGAGTGGATTGGGTTGCTCTGATGCTGCTGCTGCTGCTGCTGCTGCTGCTGTTGCTGCTGAGATTGGCTATGTTGTTCTGGCTGCTGGTGTCTATGCCACTGGTTATTCTGTTGCTGCTGCTGCTGCTGCTGCTGATACTGCGGCAGTTGATATTGCTGATGCTGCTGCTGCTGGTCCTGCTGATACTGCTGCTGCTGCTGCTGCTGCTGATACTGCTGCTGCTGTTGCTGCTGATACTGCTGCATCTGCTGCTGCTGCTGCTGCTGCTGCTGCTGCTGCTGCTGCTGCTGCTGCTGCTGCTGCTGCTGCTGCTGCTGCTGCTGCTGCTGCTGCTGCTGCTGTTGAAACTGCTGCTGCTGCTGCTGATACTGCTGCTGCTGACACTGTTGCTGCTGCTGGTCCTGTTGTTGCTGCCACTGCTGCGGCTGCCTCTGACCAGCTTCGTGTTGCACCCCACCGTGCCGCACCCCACCTTGCTGCACAAATCCTTGCTGAAAGTAAACCGAATCCTGAGGCGCCAAAGGTGCTTCCACCCCATTCAACCGTCCCTCGCCGTTTTTGAGTGCCTCCACAATAGCAGCGTCAGGGCGGAAGTGGGCAGTCCTGATTCCTGCTGCTCTCACCCCTTCCCTCACCTCTACTCGCCTCCCACTGCAAGTTAGAGATGTCTCAAGCGTCTCTAGCGTCTGAGTCTCAAAAGGCGCTGACGCTGAGAAGCTATCGCCTCTCGCCCCTTCACTCCTTGCAGAACAGGTCAAAGCCTCCTTAGGCGTCTCAAGGGTTAGTGTGGCTCCACCCTGGCTAACCCCTCCTCCTCCTCCTCCTCCTCCTCCTCCCCCCCTCTGCCCGGAACAAGTCAGCCCTTTGAAGTCGCTGCTCAGGCCGTCACAATCCGTTACAGTGCCACCCGTGTTCGTTACAGTGGCGCCTGTATCAGTAACAGCTGTTACTGTAGGCACAGTTCCTGTGGTTTCTGTGCCTGTCTCCGTTACTGAGTCACTCACTAAGCGCCACCCAGAAAAAGCCTGCTCGGGTGGGTACGGCAGGTCCGAGCCGAACCTTTCCCATTCCTGACCATCAGGCATGGGCAACAGGCACGGCTCGTCCTCCCCATCAATCTCCTGGTTTGGAAGGATCCCGAACCTGAGGTCTTCAATACCGAGCCTGTGGTTTTTGGCCCCGAACCTGGGATCGGCAAGGCTGGTACCCTGGGAGATCCCACTTATCCCCGTTCCTCCTCCTCCTTCTCCTCCTCCTCCTCCTTCTCCTCCTCCTCCTCCTCCTTCTCTTCCTCCTCCTCCTTCTCCTCCTCTTCCTCCACCAGTAGTGGCGACATTCTCCCTCTTTATGCTGCCAATCTCCACTGTTGCTTTCTCTGTTGCTTGATGAGATTCTGTGTAGTGCCATCCCGGTCGTTGGGAAGGGGGTTGAGCTGAAAACCCACCTGAAGCACCACCTGAAGGACCACCTGAAGGAACACCTGTGCCAACACCTGAAGGGGCAACAGAAGCCGCGCCTGAAGAACCACCTGAAGCAGCACCAGCAGGGGAGGTCAGCAAGGGCGTTTGCATGGCAGGTGGGGGTAGCATGGGAGTTAGCATTGGTGCAACATGCAGCATGTCTAGCGAGTGGGAGGGATAGCTCGTGAGGCTAGGATGATCGTGGGCGTGGTAAGGTTGCAGCAGTGCAGGCTGTGAGTGTGGCTCAGTGCGTGACTGAGTGTGTGAGGGAGTCTGCGAGTGAGTGTGTGTCTGGGAGTGAGGCTGAGGGAGGGTGTGAGGCTGAGTGCGTGCATCATTGAACGAATGGGTGTGCGCATGATTTTGAGGTGCCTCAGAAACAGGAGAATGGGTGTGTGCCAGCGTGTTCACGTGGGCGTGATGGCACAGGCAAGCAGGCGCCTGCTCAAGGCCACGTGGCGTTTGATCCATGCCACGTGACGCGGATGCCATGCCACGTGGCACATTATCCCCTCCATGAGGCCCTGATACCATGCCACGCGTTGTCGTTCGCTCAGTGCCATAAAATACCCCAGAGTTCCCCGCACAGCCCTGCTGCATACAGTGAGGCGACTCAGGAGTGAGATGTTCAAAGGCACATTGCACCGTGCCCACCAATCCTTCAAAGCTTCTCCCTGCTCCCTGTGTCCTTCCATCCACCTCCATCCTCTCTGCTTCACCTGCCCCACCCACTATGCCCATGCCATCTATACCCCCTATGCCATTCATGCCTCTTATGCCATCGCCCATCTCCTCTCCCCCACTCTGCCTGCTGCTTCGGCCACCGCTGCTGCTACTGCTGCTGCTGCTCCCCCCATCCCCTCTACAGGCGTCCCCCTTACACGCAGTCCTAGGAGGTGCCGGCGGCTCTGAGTGTGTACATGCCATCCCTGCTGTAAGCACACTCGGTACAGCTACAGGAGGAGGAGTGACGCTTAGTGCAACCACACACGAACTGGTGGTTACAGGGTTACCAGCAAACGCACTTGGTGCACTCACGAGCTCCCTAGCAGGTCCTGTAAGGGTACTGTTTATCCCCCTTATAGCACCAGCGTTTGGGGAATTACCCCCCAGTTCCTGTGGCAATACTGTCCAGCTATCCCTTGGTGGTACAGTGGCCATGGTACCCTTCTCTGTGTTCATTACCGAACCCTTATAAGCTGACTCGGTAAAAGCAGGATCATGCTCGACCTTCACTTGGGGTGGTACAGGGGGCTTGTGGGATTCCATGGAGGACTGGCATTGCATGGGCGAAACTCCTTGGTTTATCGAAGAAGCTTGTAAGGGAGTTGAAGTTGAAACTTTCCTGTCCACCTGCTGCCCCGCGTTCCTTCCGCTATCCGCGCCCAGAGCAACACCTCCCCCTGCACTCACTCTTGTTTCCCCGTTCGCCCCGCCTCCCCAGTTTCCGCCACTCCCCCCGTTTCCTCCACTTCCTCTGTTTCCTCCGCTTCCTCCGCCTCCCCCGCTCCCCAGCGCCCCCTAATTAGCGCCAACGCCCCTGGCCCAGTTCCCCATCGCCCCGCCATACTTATCCACGATGGTGGTAACCACCTTCCCCATCACCACGTGGAGAAGCGGCGCCTGTGGTGGGGCCTGTCGCAGCATTGGGAGTTGCCCGTTTCCCTCCCCGTTCTCATGCCCGTTCGCCTGCCCGTTTCCCTGCCCGTTTCGCGGCTCCGTCATCCGGTCTTTCTCCTGCGCACTGCGCGCTCCGCCTGTATCTTCCGCCACCGGCGCATATTTCGCGCCTTCCCGACCTGCGTACTTCTCGTTTCCGGCCCCCTCATTTTGAGTTGCCTCTAAACCAGTGTCACCATCCCTGACCGTTCTCAGCCGTTCACTCAACGTATCGCCATTCGCTGCTCGATCCTCGCCGTTCCCTGTCGCGGTTTCGCTCTTCATCCCTGGCGGCTTCCCCTCCTCTCCGCCAGCATCCGCCATCGCCTCCGCATACGCGCGCGCCGCCGCCGCATCCTGCGCCGCCTTTGCCGCCGCTTTCAGCGTTCTCACCAGATCGCGAACTTCGCTCGCCAGCTCCCGGTGCTGCTCCATATTAAGCTTCGCCTTGTTTCCCCGAATCGCCATCGCTGCCACGTCATATGCCAGCGCCGCCGTTTCCGCCGTGGGGAACGTGCCCAGCCACAGGCGCGCGCTGTTGGCGGTGTCACGAATCTCCGCCGCCCATTTTCCCCATGGGCGCAGCCGCACCCCGCGGTAATGGGGAGAATTGGCGGGTTCTTTCATCCCCCCCTGCTGCGAAGGGTTCCGCGGACTTGCGCCAACAGTCCCCCCCCACCCGCCGTCGGGAGTCGGCGCTGGGGAAGGTTGTGGGGAGGGGAACGGGGCAGCGGGGGGCGGAAGGGATAGGGGCGGAAGCGAATCGTGTGCCCGTGCAGCTTGAGGGCTGGGGCCGGTGCTGGAGAGGGGAAGCGACAATCCAAGAGGGGAATTTGAAGGTCGTGAAAGGAAAGGTAGAGCGCCGATATTCGGGGTTCCTGGGGGGATAGGCAAGGCGTGACCGCCAGAAACCGGCGCAAGGGCCGAGGAGGACCTGCAGGAGAAATGGAGAGGGGAGTTAAGGCGGAGGGGGGAGGGGAGGCGGAGCGGCGAGGGAAGGCGGAGCGGTGAGGCGGAGGAAGAAGATGGGGAGGCAGCATAAGTTGACGCGACGGCTGTTGGAGTCGGAACAGATAGTACTGAGGATGGAGCACCCGAGGATGGTGCACCCGGGGACGTTATACCCGAGGACGGTATACCCGCGGTCAGCGCAACAGCGGGTACGCCCGGCGAATCACCCCCAACGGCGCGCTTCTTCCAGCAAGGACCATCTGAGCCGTCCGGTCCCCCTCCCTGTTGAGAACTTAGTCCCTGCATACTCAAATCCAGCCGCTTGTCATCTCGCCGCGTGTCATCTCCCGTGTCATCTCGCCCAAGCTGCCGCTTCCCTCCTTGCGGCCAAGCGGACGGCGACAGGCCCAGCGGGAGGCGCAGCAGCGGCATGCTGTCGGGCGGCTTCTTGCTCGCCACGCGCGGGGGCGCGGAGAGGCTCGCGCGGAGCGCATGCGACGGACTGGCCGGGTTAGCCTCACGCAGCGGGGTGGACGCACCATCCGCGTCGGCCGTTCCTGCTGCTTCTTCCGCCGCCATTCCCGTTGCATCCTCTGCGGCCGTTCCTGCTGCTCCCGCGGCTCTGCTTGCACCTGTTGCTTCCACTCTTTGGCAAATCAAGGGAGCCACGAAACTTTCGCCGTTTAATAAGGCAGGACGAGCGGAAGCCTTCGCAAGGTCTTCACCTTCTGCAGCCATTACTGCAGAAAGACACGGTCTCGCGGTTGCCGAACCTCCGGCGCTATCCTGATGCGCAGATAGACAAGAGGTGGCGACCGCGACATGGCTGCTGGTAGAACTCGGTTGTCCGCGGCTGGTCAGCACGTTAGCGTCAGTCGGCGCGTCAGACGGTTCTTTGAAACATGCCCGACTCCCTCATGTTCTCCATCCAATCTGACCTGAATGTCATGTGACGCGTGCATCCGCTGTCCATGAACCATGCCGTCTTCTCACGTCCGTCCGTCTGACGAACATCTTTCGGTAAACGCACCACGTTCGCACGATGCGCTCCTCCCAAAATCACATCCTCCTTTTCGGCTTCCGCTACATTCGCCTTACCCGCCACAATCCTCTGCTGCGACGGACCCTTGTAGCTCCTGCTGTTCAGATTGGAGTAGCACTCTGCGGCACGATGCCCATAGCGCCCACAATAATCGCACTTGCCGCCAAAACCTCGTTTCTGTTGCCACTCTGCTCCCCCATTTTCTCCTTTCTCGTTCTCCACCGCTTTGCCCTTGTAGTTTCTGCTTCGCGGATTTTCGTAGCAGTTTATCGCCTTATGCCCCCTCTTTCCACACTGGTAGCACGCTCCAAACGCCTTCGTTGCATTCACCAAAGCCGGCCTCTCCTCGTCGAAATCCGTAGCTGCTGCTGCCGCTTTCTTTTTCCTCATCTCCTTCACCGTCTCAAGCGATTGCAGAATCTCCTGCAGCTTCGTCAAACTCTCCGGCGGTTGGTACGTAAACATACCGATGTCGGATTCCCACTCCTTAGGAAGGCCTTGGATGATATAGTCAATCATCTCGTGCTCCGTCTCCGCGGCTCCCATCACCCGCAAATCGTCGTTGTAGCTTTTCGCCCTGTTGATGTAGGTGATGATTTTCTCGCCTTTCTCCATGCTCAGCATCAGCAGCTGCTTCCTGATCGCCTTCTTGTTGACATCGTTGGTGCCCATGTACGTGGACTCCAGATACTCCTATGCTTTCTGTGCAGAGTTCAGCTCCCCTGCAAACTGGTCCAAATCCACCGCGATTCCGTCGGCAACTGAGTGACAAAGCTGAAAGAACGCTTGCTTACTTAGCTTTTTCAACGCCGCTATTTTCTCCTTCGTATCCGTCGGGGATGGCGCAACTCCCTCCATCGTCTCCTCGTCGGGACGGTAGTACGGCAAGAGGTCAACCTCCTCTGCCCTCCGAATGAACTTCTTCCGCCACACGTTGTAGTTGCTCCCATTGAAGCGCTGAGCTTCACTGAGCCCGATCGTCGGTTTCGCCACCAATCGGCCACTCGCAAGGGCCTCGAGAAGAGTCTTCAACTGCGGGTCTCCAAGACTCACACTGGAACTCGAACTCGCCTCGTCTCCCATAGCGTAGGCGTGAACGACTCCTCTTCTCCACTAATTTCACTTAGCGCACCAAGTGAATTTACGACGACCGACGCGACCGTTCGCCAAGCTCTGATACCAGTTCTTAGGATCGTAAACACCTTAGTCGGCAATAGTCTACTTGCTATTGCTTATCGTGTTCTCCACGATCTCACGAATCCAATGATATGCGCAGCTCTGCTTGAAGTTGTCAATACACACTTCAGCAATTTTCAGAATCTCCAAGTTGTGTTTTCCAGAATGAGTACAAGCAGTTTTATAGTCAAGCAAGTCACAAAATGCGATTCGTAACTTCACTTGTTTCCCAAGTAACCGCGTGCGCCTCGTTCACCCCGAGTCGCACACGCAACCGAACCGAATTCACCGAACACTCCTTGAGCCCGAATCAGGAAATTTCTCGAACACGCCTTGGTCTCGAACCACATTTTCCCCCGTCGAACTCATTCTCGATTCTTCTCCACTCTTCTTCCTTCATTTCTCCAGTTTCTTCCCGATTTCTCTCCCGCTTTTCACGCCTTAGCTTCCAACGTCCACCGTAGGCCGATTTCTACCGAAATCACTCTAGAATCTCCCACGAGCTCCATTCCGCCGCCATTCCGCATTTCACCGTAGGTTCCGTGGTTGGGCGAACCAACCCTAACAACATGGCTGCTGGTAGAACTCGGTTGTCCGCGGCTGGTCAGCACGTTAGCGTCAGTCGGCGCGTCAGACGGTTCTTTGAAACACGCCGGCGCTTCACTAAGAGCAGATCCGCTTATGCATCTGGGTTCGTCATAGCGAAAGGGTGGCGGCGGGCTATGGTGGTAGTTACTAGTTTGCGCGCATTTAGCAGCGTCGGGGTGGGGGTTAGCTCGCTTTCGCTTCGTGAGAAGATCGGAATGCGACGGCTCGTCAGGAGGACCGACGGCCGCTATCTCCTCCTTGGTTTCTGCGTCACGAGTCTGGGTGCCGCTAGATTTCCCTGACGAAACTCCTGGCAGCTGCGGCAGCTGCAGCGGATACATTGGGCCGAACCATGAGCTCGCTTAATTCCAAAACCACTGGCTGTTCTCTTCACGTGTCCCCTCGGTGCTTTCAGTCAACGCGATGAAACTTCGCCACGTGTACTACGGTGCCGTGCTGTTCTAGGTCTAGTGGACGTGCTTCCGCATGTGCAGCAGAGGTTGAAGAGCTATCCCAAGCTTCGTGTTCGTAACCAGGGCTTCTTAGGCTAAGACGACCAGAACTATCATTGCTGAGTTCCTGACACACTGATCAGTGAGCTATCACAGAAGCATGGTCGAAATGACATTTCCAAGGTTCGAAGGGCGAATTGCGGCGCGGGATGGCCTTAAAGCAGCGGTATACATTTGACAGTACTGCTGCTTCTCTACAGTGTGCAACGCGATTTCGCCTCAACGAAAAAAAAACGAGGGGGGCGATAGTTTTTGGCGAAGACCTAGGGCACTTCTGTTGTGGGGGAACCAGGGTTGGGTTGGTCGTGAGTCACGAAATGGTTCAATGCTCCCGTCACCCACCTCACCTGCCACCCTCACGCACTACGAAGAATAGGCGACTAAAACCTAAAAGACCAGGTAGAAATAGCCAAGGCGCGCGCTGGAAGGTGCGAAGCCAGCAGCGCGACCACGCACGAAGTCGCGGGTGAGTACTTAGGGAGCCGCATTACAAGCCTCGCCTGCGAAACGACCAGCAAAAGCGCGCAGAAGCTGCAGCTTGTGCAGCAACTGTCGCGCTCTCCCCTCAAGCATCGCACGCGCGCCTGCATTCCGCGCGAGCCAGCACAGCGCGCGTCAGCATTGCGCCCTCAGCAGATCAGCGCACGCCAGCAAAACGCCCGCAGCAAAGCGACACTACATCTGCATAGCGCACGCGTCAGCACAGCGTGCCAGAGACGCCTCGCTTTCGCCCAGGGGCTATCTCGTGTATAAGAGCAGGCGCTCGCGTTGTTTCGTGCGCCCTGACGAATTCGCGCCGTCGCATACCAGCTGCATTCCCCCGACCGCAAGCCCCCTTCGACATTCCCTTGCCACATCCCCCCCTCCGCATTCCATCACGGAGCGTTCCACCTGCCGCAACCCCCGTTCCGCATCCCCCCTGCCGCATCCCCGATTCCGCAATCCCCGAGCCGCATTCCCCCTTCCGCATTCCCCCTTCCACAGTCCCCCGTCCATATTCCCCCTTCCCCATTCCGCCTTCCGCATTCCGCCATCCGCATTCCCCCTGCCGCATCCCCGATTCCGCAATCCCCCAGCCGCATTCCCCCTTTCGCATTCTCCCTTCCGCATTCCCCCTTCCGCATTCTCCCTTCCGCATTCCCCCTTCCGCATTCAGCCTTCCGCATTCCCCCTTCCGCTCCGCATTCCCCCTCCCGCATTCCCCCTTCCGCATTCCCCCTTCCGCATTACCCAGCATGCTTCAAACTCACTCCCTCGTGCTCCCTGCCTCATGCTCACTCCCTCGTGCTCCCCCACCCCCATGTCCATCTCCTGCCTCCCTTCACGCCCCATCAGCCGCGCGACGCCTTTCACAGGGGCCTGGCGTCGGCATTGCGTCTTCTGCACCCCTCCAACCTCCACTTCCCCCTCCAGAGCCATACGGCATTCGGTGAGTCAACCGACTCCCCACCTTCCTGCCCCGTCGCGTTGCCTTCGGTGAGTCAACCGACTCCCCACCTTCCTGCCCCGTCGCGTTGCCTTCGGTGAGTCAACCGACTCCCCACCTTCCTGCCCCGTCGCGTTGCCTTCGGTGAGTCAACCGACTCCCCACCTTCCTGCCCCGTCGCGTTGCCTTCGGTGAGTCAACCGACTCCCCACCTTCCTGCCCCGTCGCGTTGCCTTCGGTGAGTCAACCGACTCCCCACCTTCCTGCCCCGTCGCGTTGCCTTCGGTGAGTCAACCGACTCCCCACCTTCCTTCCTCCCGCGAGACACGTCGCCCATTCGTTGGAAATCGGGCAGTCCCTCTCCCATCTTCCTTCCCCCTCCCCCCCCTCTCCCCACCCCCCCTGGTCCTATATCCTCCTCCTCCTCTACCTCCTTCTCCTATCTCCTCATTTCCCCATCATCATGCCATCTGTTTCTCCCCTACTAGCCCTCCCTTCCCCATCATCATGCCACGAGTTTCACCCCTACTAGCCCTCCCTTCCCCCTCATCATGCCACGAGTTTCACCCCTACTAGCCCTCCCTTCCCCCTCATCATGCCACTAGTTTCACCCCTACTAGCCCTCCCTTCCCCCTCATCATGCCATCTGCCTCCCCTCCTTTTCCCCCTTTCCCCCTCTGCTTCCCCTCTTTTCCCCTCTGCTTCCCCTCCTTTTCCCCCCTGCATCCCCTCCTTTCCCCCTGCATCCCCTCCTTTCCCCCTGCATCCCCTCGTTTTCCCCACCAATTCCCCTCCTTTCCTCCATTGCTTCCCCCAATTCTCCCACTGCTTCCCCTCCTTTCTCCCACTGCTTCCCCTCCTTTCTCCCACTGCTTCCCCTCCTTTCCCCCTCTGCTTCCCCTCCTTTTCCCCCTTGCATCCCCTCCTTTTCCCCCCTGCATCCCCTCCTTTCCCCCTGCATCCCCTGCTTTCCCCCTGCATCCCCTCGTTTTCCCCACCAATTCCCCTCCTTTCCTCCATTGCTTCCCCCAATTCTCCCACTGCTTCCCCTCCTTTCTCCCACTGCTTCCCCTCCTTTCTCCCACTGCTTCCCCTCCTTTCCCCCTCTGCTTCCCCTCCTTTTCCCCCTTGCATCCCCTCCTTTTCCCCCCTGCATCCCCTCCTTTCCCCCTGCATCCCCTCCTTTCCCCCTGCATCCCCTCGTTTTCCCCACCAATTCCCCTCCTTTCCTCCATTGCTTCCCCCAATTCCCCCTCTGCTTCCCCTCCTTTCTCCCACTGCTTCCCCTCCTTTCCCCCTCTGCTTCCCCTCTTTTTCCCCCCTGCATCACCTCCTGTCCCCCCCTGCTTCCCCTCCTTTCCCCCACCAATTCCCCTCTTTCCTCCCTTGCTTCCCCTCCTTTCCCCCTCTGCTTCCCCTCCTTCCCCCCTCCTTCCCCTCCTTTCCCCCTCTGCTTCACCTACTTCTCCCCCCTGCATCCCCTCCTTTCTCCCCCTGCCTCGCCTGCCATTCATCCATCAGGTCTGCAGTGAACTCTACCAATCCCACGCCGCCACCTGTCCCTTCCTCCGCTCCCCCACTCACCCCCAGCACATCCAGATCCAACACGACGACAGCGGGCGCCCTCTCATTGGCCCGTGCCACTGCCCTCCCCAGCAGCCGCCGAACCTCCTTCGCAGGCTCGGACCCGAGCCTGGAACAGCTGACACACTCTGTGTGCGCGAGGCAGGTCCGGTCGTTTCGAACCTGCCAGGCTAGGGCAGAGGCTGTGGGCAGAGGTAGCAGAGTAGAAAGCACAGGAGAGACACTATTGGAAGAGTGACCCGCTGGTGCTCTCGTTGTAACTTGACATCAATAGCATGTTACAACGCATTTACCCGCTTGTACCCTCTGCCTTTCCTCTTTCTATAAGGCATCTTTAGGTTTGCAATTGATGAAGAAAAAAAAAGAGCTTTCACAGCAGTATGTACACACAATAACATCAGCACCAGGTATACAAGACAGTGCCATCCTCTACTCTCGGTGTCATCTTCACGCCGTGACACACTCCTGGAACCTGATGCCCCTCCCCTCATGCCGCCAAGCTTGCTTGGGCGAGGCTTTGTCCTGCTTGTAGCTGGAGCAGAGGGAATTGTCCTCCTTATACGTTGCTGAAATACATGCAAAACCGGCTGCTTTGCGTATGCATACAAGTTGTATGAGACCTGGTGTCGCATCGGTAATGGGGCCCCAAAATAATGGGAGGGAAGGCAGGGGTGGGGGCGAAGGGAATACAAGTGAGTACACGTAAGTTAGAGGGGAGTGTATGGGGCAAATGTGATGGCAACACGTGCACGGGAACTAGGAGGCACAAGGCGAATAGTGGCGCAGAAGGGCAGGGCAGAGAAGGAAAGAGCAGGGATGGAAGGGCAGGGATGGGGAGGGAGCGGAGGGGAGGAAGTGGAGGGAGGGATTAGGGAGGGAATGAAGGGGAGGGTAGGAAGGGGACGGAAGGAAAGGAAGGCAAGGAAGAGTAGTGGCAGGTAAGAGAAAGGCAAAGGAATTTGAGGGATGGGGGAAGGGAAGTGGACGGGAGAGGAAGGGAGAGTGGGGGTAGGGGGGGTTGGTTACAGGAAGCAGGAATGGAGGGAAGAGAGGAGCAGAGAGGGAAGGGCGGGAAGAGAGGAGCAGAAAGGGAAGGGAGGGAAGAGAGGAGCGGGAGAGAAGGGAGAGAAGGGAGAGAAGGGTGGTAGGGATGGAAAGGATAGAAGGGAGAAAAGGGTGGTAGGGATGGAAAGGATGGAAGGGAGAAAAGGGTGGTAGGGATGGAAAGGATGGAAGGGAGAAAAGGGTGGTAGGGATGGAAAGGATGGAAGGGAGAAAAGGGTGGTAGGGATGGAAAGGATGGAAGGGAGAAAAGGGTGGTAGGGATGGAAAGGATGGAAGGGAGAAAAGGGTGGTAGGGATGGAAAGGATGGAAGGGAGAAAAGGGTGGTAGGGATGGAAAGGATGGAAGGGAGAAAAGGGTGGTAGGGATGGAAAGGATGGAAGGGAGAAAAGGGTGGTAGGGGGGAAGAGAAGGGCGGGTAGGGAGAGAAGGGAGAAAATAAAGAGAAGGCTGGGAAGGGAGGGAAGGGAGGGACGGGAGAGAAGGGAGGGACGGGAGAGAAGGGAGGGACGGGAGAGAAAGGAGGGACGGGAGAGAAGGGAGGGACGGGAGAGAAGGGAGGGACAGGAGATTGCAAGGAGGGATGAGAGGGAAGGTTCGAAAAGGGAGAGAAGGTAAGGGGGGAGAGAAGGGCGGGAAGGGAGAGATAGGAGGGAAGGGAGGGAAGGGAGTGAAGGGAGGGAAGGGAGGGAAGGGAGGGAAGGGAGTGAAGGGTGGGAGGGAGAGAAGGGAGGGAAGGGAGAGAAGGGAGGGAAGGGATGGAACGTAGGGAGGGAACGTCGGGCGACGGAAAGGGGAATAGGGAGGCGGGAAGGGAAGTCTGGCGGCGGGAAATGGGAACCGGGCGGCGGGAAATGGGTATCGGGCGGCGGGAAATGGGAATCGGGCGGCGGGAAGGCGCATCGGGCGGCGGGAAGGCGCATCGGGCGGCGGGAAAGGGGAAGCGGGCGGAGGGAACGGGAATCCGGCGGCGCGAAAGGGGAATCGGACGGCGAAAAGGGGCGGTCGGCCGGCCCGCCCAATGGGCGGGAAAGGGGATTCAGGCGACGCGGAAGGGGAACCAGGCGGCGGGTACGTGAATCGGGCGACGGGAAAGGGAGTAGGGCGACGGGAAAGGGAGTAGGGCGACGGGAAAGGGAGTAGGGCGACGGGAAAGGGAATCGGCCGGTGGGAAAGAAGAATCGGGGGGCGAGAAGGGGAATCGTGCAGCGTGACTGAGGTTTCGTGGCGGCGGGAAAGGGAAACCGGGCGGCGGGAAGGGGCACCAGGCGACGGGAAAGGGGAATCGGGCGTCGGCGAAGGGGAATCGGGCCGCAGAAAAGAGAATGGCTAAGGCGCCGCCATGGATGCATTCTCACTTTTGATGCGAAATGCTCCGCGTATTAGGTTCCAGAAAATAAACAATGGCTCTGTCGGCGTATGACCTAAGCGTGAGAAGCGCTATAATCGCAATGGCTTGCAGTGCTTTTGGAAGTTACATTTTTTAGTGATGACTATGCACGCTTTGGGAGTGGGGACAGTGGAGAGGAGGCACGTCCTTCAGTATACTTTTGGCTAGGTATAAACTTTTGACGAGTGAGTCAGGTGAGAGGGGTTGGGTTTGAACTAGTCGCTGTGTTAGAAGTCGAGAGACCCTGTAATCTGGTTACCACCATGTACCTTTTATAAACTTTTGGCCTTTCCCCTGCCAAATGTATAACGCTGCTTTAAGCTTTCTTTGAAGAAATTGGGGTTTGGTTGGCGGGAATGTAAAATTTTATTCCAAGATTTTGATTTCGTCGCAGACTCTCATGGCGAGCATTTAGATCTACATGCGATCACACGGGAGGGCGATGGGAATTGTAGTGGTGGTTGGCTCGCAAAGCTCGCAATCGTCGTTCGTTTTGTCGATGATCAGCCGGCAGGTGCATCGCGTGCTGTCGTCTGCCCCGGGCGATTTCGGTTGGCCGAAGTTCACCGTAAAAAAACTGAACGACTGTTTGGGTGGGGTTTGAACGACGTGACCCCTGCACTGTAGCTGGGGGTAGCGACGCACGACACTGCAACTTCGAGACCTTGTTTCCAAATTAGCGGGCGCATGCGATTTGGCGAGGCAATGCGACTATTCAGGGGCGAATTCGGGGCTGGGAAAAGTGCTCCGATTGGTCGATGGGAAACAGAGGCGCAACTGCAAACGCGAAGCTCCGGGCCGCATTCACCAAATCTCGAGACCTGTAAAAATGCCCTCGATTCGGCCCTTGGCAGACCTGGGGAAAGGGGAACTGGGATGAGGCTGGGACCGCAGCTGCAAAATCGAACCAAGGTGCCTTGCTTTTGTCGAGTCGCATACTAGGTATGGGTGGGTCTTGACAAACTTTGAACCTCGATTAGACGTTCCAGAATTTATAACAATATCACATCAGCCCAGTGTAGTTCCTCTTCCCATCAGGCTTACTGATCTTGCTTTGTATTTATATTCCGCCCACATAGTAAATCCCAAGTGGCTGCTGCTTGGGCTGCATTAACATCCCCTTCCTTCTCATTTAATATTAACACTGAATAATCTTTTTGTTATATATTATAACCTGTTGTTTCAACAAGTCTTCTTGTCCTATGTGCCTGCGTTACACCACCAATTGAATCTTCCGTTTCCCCTTCTATCTACGGTACTCCTTTTTCACCTTCCCCCGTTTTTCCTCATTTACACCTGGTGCCTTTGTCAAACATTATATGTTCATATTGTAATAAGCTGTAGTGGGTTTAGCCTTAGGGGGTACAACACTTCTCGTCTTTTACTAGTACCCCCCTTTGACCTAATGCATTCATTCCTAGTTTGACATGGTTTCACAGTAGGTCCTGGTTTAGGACCGAAACATTTTTTTAGGGCCCACCGAATTTGTTCCGCTCTTCCCGGCAGTCATTTCCCCCCTGCCCGGCCCGTCGTTTCTGCCCTGCCCAGCACGCCATCGTGCTGCTGCCCTGCCCTGCCTAGCGCGCTATCGCGCTGCCCTGCCCAAAGCCGCGCGCTGTCCCACTGCCTAGTACGCCCGCCCGCCTGCTGCCCGCACGCTGCCCGCGCGCTGTTCGCACGCCGCTCGCACGCTGTTCGCACGCCACTCGCACGCTGCTCGCGCTGCCTGTACAATGCCCTCACGTCGCCCGCGCTGTCTGCTCGTTGCTGGCCCGCCTGTCAGATATATATGTCTTAGCGCATGTAGGCTGTAGTGGGGTAGACTCTAAGGGGTACAGGTTTCTTATTTGTACCAAACTCATTCATAGTTCATTCATTCCTGTTTCTTTCTTCACATGGTATAGAGCGGGTTCCTACATGGGACCGTTCCTTCCTAAGGGCCCACCATAACGATTTTTTTTTAGCTGCCCGACGCGCGTTGCGCCCCTGCCCTAAATTTTTTTTTTTTAGCGGCCCTCCTAGCGGCCCCTACGCGACCCCTACGCGGCCCCTACGCGGCCCCTACGCGGCCCCTACCCGGCCCCTACGTCGCCCCTGACGCGGCCCCTACGCGGCCCCTGACGTGGCCCCTACGCGGCCCCTGACGCGGCCCCTACGCCGCCCCTGACGCGGCCCCTGACGCGGCCCCTGACGCGGCCCCTGACGCGGCCCCTGACGCTGCCCCTGACGCGGCCCCTGACGCGGCCCCTGACGCGGCCCCTCCGCCGCCACTACCGCGGCCCCTGCGCCGCCCCTGACGCGGCCCCCTGCGCCGCCCCTCCGCGGCCCCTACGCCGCCCCTGTCGCGGCCCCTACGCCGCCCCTGACGCGGCCCCTGACGCGGCCCCTAACGCGGCCCCTGACGCGGCCCCTGACGCGGCCCCTGACGCGGCCCCTGACGCGGCCCCTGACGCGGCCCCTGACGCGGCCCCTACGCCGCCCCTGTTGCGACCCCTACGCCGCCCCTGTCGCGGCCCCTACGCCGCCCCTGACGCGGCCCTCTACTGCACCTGACGCGGCCCCTACGCCGTCCCTTCACGGCCCGGCCCTGTCCCTGACGCGGCCCCTACGCGACCACGCGGCCCCGACCCCGTCCCGGACCTGCCCCGGCCCCGACCCTGTCCCGGCCCCGTTGCTGCTTTGTCCCGGACCTGCCCCGGCCCCGACCCTGTCTCGGCCCCGTTGCTGCCCCGTCCCGGACCCTGCTCGACCCCGACCCTGTCCCGGCCCTGTTCCGGCCCCGACCCCGTCCCGAACCCTCGGCTCTGCCCCTGGTAAGAGCCTAGCCGGGCCGAGCCGCGCGGCCGAGCCGCACTGCGCTGCCGAGTCGCCCTACCGAGTCGCACTGTCCTGCCTAGCTCAGTTGCGCTGCTGCCGCTGCTAGTCTCCTGCTGCTCCTATCATGGCTAGTCCTACCCTTCTCACCTTTGATGCTGAGGGTCGAGTGGTTGCCTTTGATGTCTGGCTAGATGACTTACAGCTTTTCCTTCAGTGCGATAGCAGAGATGGCCTCTCCCTGTTTGACCTTACGTCGGGCGCCTCTACTGCCCCTGTTGCTGATGCTGACAGTACCGTTCGCTCGCAGTGGCTCACGCGCGATGCTGCTGCCCGCCTTGCTGTGCGCAGTCACCTACCGCCTACTGAGCGCGCGCACTTTAGTCAGTACAAGAGTGCTAAAACTCTGTACGACGCTGTAGTTGCACGCTACTCTTCCCCTGCCACTGCTGCGCTTAGCCGCCTCATGCTACCGTACCTTTTCCCTGACCTCGCTGCCTTTGCCACAGTCACTGACCTCACTACGCACCTCCGCACTAGTGACACTCGCTACCGCGCTGCGCTCCCTGCTGAGTTCTGCGCCCAGAACCCCCCCCCCCATGTACATCACCCTCTACTACCTAGTCACTCGACCCCCTGACACTCTCCGCTCGGTCAGGGACCACTTCCTCTCTCTTTGCCCTACCACCCTCACTGTCGACCTCCTCGAGGAGCGCCTCCTTGCAGCCGAGACTAGTATTACCGCTGTAGGCGCCTCTCGTGGTGACCCCCGTACCCCTTTCTTTGAGGGGTGCTCCCCCGTTCCTCTTTTGCCCTTTGTTGCCTCTGCTGCTGCTGTCGACCTTGTTGGCACCGAGTCGGTCAGCGCTGCGTCTGCTCCTAGTGAGAGGCGCCGCTTCAGCAAGGGCAAGCGGGGCAAGGGAGCTGGAGGAGGTGGTGGGGGCGGCGGTAGTGGCGGTGGAGGCGGCGGAGGGGGTGGGGGTGGGGGTGGTGGCAGAGGTGGGGGCTTCGGTGGCGGCGGTGGAGGTGGAGGCAGCGGTGGCGGTGGCGGGAGGGGTGGGGGCGGCGGAGGTGGCGGCGGCGGAGGTGGAGCTGGCAGGGGCGGAGCTGTACAGCGGGGACCCCAGCAGCAGCAGCGCTCTCGTGAGACCCCTTCACCCCAGCAGCTTCGTGAGTGGTACGCGGGGCGCCAGGGGTCTGGAGGTACTGGTCCCTGTACCTACGTCCTGCGCACCGGCGACCGCACTGGAGAGCAGTGTGGCGGCCTCCACGCCACCCAGCGCTGCTTCGGTCACCTGACGGACGCCTGGTGTGCCCAGTTCCCGGACGCCACTGAGATCCCTCGTTGGCATGATCTGCTCAGGTCGGGAGTAGCTATCTTTGATCTTGACTTTGATGCTATTCTTGCTGCTATGTATGCTGTGTCTATTAGTGCTGAGGGTGACTGTTACGTGTGTGTTCCGCCTGACCCTGGTATTGAGGCTGCTGCTCTAGGTGCTAGTGAGTCTGCTGCTCCAGGTACTCGTGAGTCTGCTCCTCTAGGTGCTGGTGAGTCTGCTCTCTCAGGTACCGAGTCGGCTCAGGTCTTTCACACCTTCACCCTCGACTCGGGTGCTTCCCGCTCCTTCTTTCGAGACCGCACCACCCTTACGCCGCTCAGTCGGCCGGTTGCGGTCTCCCTGGCAGACCCCTCTGGGGGTCCTGTCCTTGCTCGCTACTCCACTGTCCTACCGTGTCCGGCGGCCCCGTCAGGCTCTCTGTCTGGTCTCTACCTCCCCTCGTTCTCCACGAACTTGGTGAGTGGTGTTGACCTTCAGGATGCCGGAGTTGACCAGTTCACTCCTGCAGGCCAGCGAGTGACCCACTGCTCGTGTGCTCAGACGGGCCGCCACTTGGCCACATTTACCCGTCGACCGAGGTCGAGCCTGTACACACTGACCACAGAGTCTCCTCCGGTTGCTGCGTCTGGTCAGGTAGCTGCGTCGAGTCAGGTGTTTGCTGCAGCCTCTCGGTCAGGTCCTGAGTCAGCCCCCTGCTCGTGTCGCCTCCTGTCCCACCAGACCCTCCTCTGGCACCACCGACTTGGTCACCCCTCCTTGCCTCGTCTCCGAGGCATGGCCTCCCGTGTCCTTGTCTCTGGTCTCCCCCGGTCCCTCCCTCCCCTTCAACCGGGGCCTGCCCCTACCTGCGTTCCCTGCGTCGAGGGGCGGCAGCGCGCCGCTCCTCACTCCTCCGAGTTCCCCCCCACAGAGGCTCCACTGCAGACACTTCACATGGACGTGTGGGGCCCAGCCCACGTCCGTGGACAGGGTCACGAGCGTTACTTCCTGCTGGTGGTTGACGACTACTCGCGCTACACCACAGTCTTCCCCTTGCGCAGCAAGGGTGAGGTCACTGAGGTGTTGATCGACTGGATCCGCGCTGCTCGTCTCCAGCTCAGAGAGCGTTTCGGCTCGGACTTTCCTGTTCTGCGTCTGCACTCCGACAGAGGCGGAGAGTTTTCCTCCGACCTTCTGCGAGCCTTCTGTCGTGCGGAGGGCATCCGCCAGACGTTCACGCTTCCGGCCTCTCCACAGCAAAATGGGATTGCTGAGCGCCGCATTGGCATGGTCATGGATGTCGCTCGTACGTCCATGATCCATGCGGCTGCTCCCCATTTTCTGTGGCCGTTCGCGATTCAGTACCCGGCGCATCAGATCAACCTTCAGCCCCGGGTCTCCTTGCCGGAGACCTCCCCTACTCTGCGGTGGACGGGGAAGGTTGGTGATGCGTCTGCGTTCCGTGTCTGGGGATCTCGAGCCTTCGTTCGAGACTTGTCTGCGGACAAGCTGTCCTCTCGTGCTGTTCCTTGCGTCTTCCTCGGCTTTCCCCCTGA